GTCTGAGCACATTGGAGTCGTAACGAGGCATGAAATGTTCAGTCTGGTTTTTCACCACTGGCTGTACCAGCTGCAGCTTCCTTAGGTGAACAATCCTGCCAGCCCAGCATCCAGACAGAGGAGGACACCTGCTACCTCCAGGCCTTTTAAGTTCCTCCAGGAAACGGTGCAGGCTGCGAGGAACAGGCGCCCCGAGGAGGAGAGGCAGGAAATGAGCACAGGGAGTCCCACCAGAGGGAGCAGACACAGCCTGGAATGGGAGTGGGACCCACAGAGGGAGCAGACACAGCCTGGAATGGGAGTGGGACCCACCGAGGGAGCAGACACACCCAGGAACAGGAGCTGGGAGCTGGGATACAGGGGGGTGAGATGTAAGTTTGCTCTTCCAGAGCCCAAGGGAAGGGAATGCTTTGCAGGAATCACGGTGTCCCTGGCCTGGGGACACGGGGAAGGTGAACCCAGCACAGCTCCAGGGGATCAGCAGATGACACCAACCCCCTCAGCAGGACTGGAAGATGCCCATTTTTTCCTGTTGAGTGGGAATTAACATGGAGAGGCCACCAAAGAGAAGCTCCAGGCACTGTCAGGGCTATGCCAAGAGCAACCAAAAGATGATGTGATTTGGGCCCAACGAGCTGTCACAGAATCATGGAATGGGTTGGAAAGGACCCTAAAGCTCATCCCATTCCAACCCCTGCCATGGGCAGGGACACCCTCCACTAGAACAGGTTGCTCCAAGCCCCATCCAACCTGTCCTTGGACACTTCCAGGAACATCCTGCAGGCCATTCCAAGGGCAGGTGGCTCCACATGGAAGCAAAGAGCAGTTTCTCCCTTCAGGATCCACATGGCAACTGTAGAGACACCTTTGAAGAGAAAATTACATTTCTTTACAGCGCAGCAAAAGCTGATGGAAGATTCCCTGGAGGACTTTTACCCTCTGGAACCAAAGGAATGGCCAGAGAGCTTCACCTCTGAACAAGAGGCCAACCCCTCTGATGTGTTAGCACCCTCACTGCAAGCAGTAAATCACGGTGTCCGTGGAAAGGGAACAATTTCAGGATCACCTCAGAGTGAACATCCTTACAAAGCTCCTGTCCCCCTCGCTGCTTCCCTGCAAACTCCCACGGGAAAACCCCCTCTCTGCTGAGGCACATGAGATGACAGGCAAACTGGCAGTAGGACTGCATGTCTGCAGGACAGGACTGCAGGCCCAGGAGGCTCAGCTGGGCTCCCACCCCGCTGGGTGTCCTGCGTGAGCCCCTGCCCGTGTGCGTCAGCAGCACCGAGGAGTTTCCGGGTGTAGCCGTAAAACAGCCGGAGCTGGGAAGAGCCCTGCTCCAGCCTGGGACAGAGCACACACAGAACCACGTTCCCCACCACGTCCTTCCCTCCTCCACTGAGCTCACAGCACCTCAGGAGCCGCTGGCCCTGCCAAGGCACCGATCCTGCCCCGCTCCCACCGTCCCGCTCCGGCCCCTTGACCAGAAGGCAAACGGAAAAGCTTTCGGTAACTTCCAGCTGATCTTGGCTGGGAATGAGTGACTCAGAAAGGAAAAAATTCCCTGCCATCCCTTCACAACCAAAGGTCAGGCAAAGCTCACAGTGGGACCTGAGGAGAGGCTTTCCACGGCCCTATTCCAGCCTCCCGATTCCGCCCTTGGGTTTGTTTGGGAAGGCAGATTGCAAGGCCATAAACACTGCCACACATCTGCTGAGGCATGCTGGGATGGAAAATCCACCTTAGGAAGTGGCTACAGGAGAGAGGAACCTCCTCTGCCCCGGTGCTGCCCGGCTCCGGCGGCCTCTCCGGCGCCGCGCTCCGGCATGGAGCCTCGGGAATCTGCACAGCTGAGCTGGAGCTGTGAGGCACCTTCCCTGCTCCTGATGGAGTGAAGCCTTCCAAAAGCTCAGCATATTTTCCCCTAAACACGTCAGGGTTTTCTCAGGATCATCACAGGCACACCTTCCACTAGCCCAGGTTGCTCCAAGCCCTGTCCCACCTCACAGGAAAGAATTTCTTCCCAACATCCAACCTAATCCTGCTCTTTCTCAGTTTAAAGCCATTCCCCTTGTCCTCTCCCTCCATGCCCACGTTTTCTCCCTGTGCAATGATCCCACTGGCCACTGCAGAGCCCTTCCACAGATATTGCTTCCCTCCCAGCCTGGCCCTCTCCAAGCTGCACCACCTCGGAGAATTCGGCACCGGTGTGTGAAGGCCAAAACAGGCTGTCTGTAAGGACTGGGACACCCCAGGGAAGGGATCACATGTTCAGGCCATCATCCCACCCTCCTCCCCTCCTGCACCAGGCCAGATGTTTGTGGAACCAAACCAAGTTCTGGAAAATGCCAAAATTTCAGCTCTCAATAGGAAAAAGTTATCTACTGGAACAGAAAAACAAGCAAGCCATGCCAGCATTTTCCCAGCCAAATTTCACTTACTTGAGAAGGCTTTAAGATGTTTCTTACACTCAGGCTCTGTCTGGGGGGTGGGAAGGAGAGATGTCCCCCCTTCTTCCCATCCCAGTTCCTCTGTTCCCACCAACGTCATGGCAATAAAAGGAATAAAACAACCCCAAACCACAAGTCCTTCTGAATGGAAGACACTGAAGATCTGGAGCTCCCAAAGAGCTCTGCATCTTTATTCAGCACTATTTCTATCCCAAATTCCACAGCTCAAGCCCCAGTGCTTCACTTACAGAGGATAAAACAGGGTTTATTTGCTTTAATATCCCCCCTGCTTTCTTCCTGAACCCTAAAGGAGCTGGACAGCTCAAAGTCCAAATATAAAGCCACATATCACAGTTCTCTGGATAAAATCATCCCTTCCCTGCACCCACAGCCACTGGAATGAACCCAGCTGCCAGTTTCTGAGGTCCAGAAGTCATCTAAATGTGGGCTGACTTAGGGATGCAAAGGCAAGAGGGATGTTTTCCCAAGGCAAAAGCACCACAGGAACTCTTGGTGCCGGGTTTGGGGGTTCTTTTCTCTGTGAGGTGTCACAGGGTTTATTTCAAGAAGGTGCTGTTTGATTTTTCAAGCAATTCCAGTCACACCAAACCACCAGAGATCACTCTGCAGGCCATCCTTTAGTCCAGGCTTAAATCATCCCTGTTTTAAGCTTCTCACCCAGCCAAGCTTCCACATGAGAGGAAGAAATTCATTACCTCATGGTCTGGATCAAAATGTGGCTCCTCAAAAGCACACCTCAGGTCCTTCCTTTGACCTGAATCAAAGCCTTCACAGAAATGAGAGCAAATCTGTTCCCATCACCAGTGCTTTGAGCTTCTCCAGGAACTGGGAACAAGCCTTTCTTATTTTTAACAGACAAATAACTAAAGGCCCACGGAATTGCAAGGAAATAATGGAAATATTTCTCACAGAAGTTCCCCAGTCCTTCCCCCTCGAGCGCACCACGTGAGCCACAAATGCAGGAATGGTGCCTGGGCAAATGCACACCTAGAAAAAGGTGTGGATACAGAATAATTGCACTGTTATTCTATTATAATGCATTATTATCTGTTACATGTGTGTGTACACCCAGAGATACACATACTGTGCCTCTGGGAGCGCATCTACAAATGTATTTACACCCAAGCACCTCTGTCCTGACAAGAACCCACTGAGGACAGGGTTTGCTCTTAATCAAACCTCAGACAGGAGCAGTTCTTACAAACCCAAACCCTCTGCCCTGAAAAGTCTGTAAATAACACCCCATTAACTTTTAATCCCACCTTCCCCGCTCTGACATGCATTCTGTATTAAAATGCAAGTTATATAAGGTTGAATCGAGGCTGCTTTTTAATATTACATTAAGGCTATTTACCATGTGCAGCACTAATCCCCCTTTGCAGGAGGAGCCTATTAGCAATTCCAAAAGCTCCCGTTGCCATAGCAATGGGCCAGCACTGGGAAATATTTATATAATGTCTAATGTTTGCACTGTGCAACAGCCATCTTCCCAACTGGACTTCCAGCTCATCCTGGGCCTCTTCCCTCCCTGTCCCACGCAGGGTAAAGCCTAATTCTGAAAAACCTGGGAGTGTGCAGAGCTACCTGCACCCACTGCCCCTGCATTCCCTGCTCCTGCAGGGAAAGAGGGCCAGGCACTGGGGCTGCACCTTGTGCTGATGGCAAACGTCCAGTGGGCAGTTTAGAGAACCATGGAGCATCCACAGTGGGAAGGGACCCACAAGGACCATGCAGTCCAACTCCTGGCCCTGCACAGGACACCCCAACAATCCCACTCCGTCCCTGAGAGCGTTGTCCAAACCCTCCTGGAGCTCTGGCAGCCTCGGGGCTGTTCTCACTGCCCTGGGGAGCCTGTTCAGTGCCAACCACCCTCTGGGGGAAGAACCTTGTCCTGAGATCCACCAAAACCTCCCCTCACACGACTTCAGGCCATTCCTGTCACTGACCCCACAGAGATCAGTGTCTCTTTATGTGCCACTCTGCTCCCAAATACGTGACAACAGTAACAGGGAACCTCCTGGGGGGTTGAATTCCACGGGAACTTCCCGGCTGGTGCATTTTCAGTGTGCAGGGAAGGGAACGGAGCTGGGAAGGGGCTGGAGCAGCAGGAGGGGCTGAGGGAGCTGGGGGGGCTCAGCCTGGAGAAAAGGAGGCTCAGGGGGGACCTTCTGGTTCTGCAACTCCTGACAGGAGGGGGGAGCCAGGGGGAGTTGGGCTCTGCTCCCAGGGAACAGGGACAGGAGGAGGGGAAGCAGCTTCCAGCTTGTACCAGGGGGGGTTAAATTGGGTATCAGGGGAAATTTCTCCACTGCCAGGGTGGTCAGGCCCTGGCACAGCTGCCCAGGGCAGTGGTGGAGTCCCCATCCCTGGAGGTGTTCCCAACTCGCGTGGGTGTGGCACATGGGGAGCGGGTTCAGTGCCGGGACCGGCGGTGCTGGGGAACGGTTGGACTGGATGACCTTGGAGCTGTTTTCCAGCCTTCCCGATGTCCCTGACTCCACGATGCCAAGGCAGGTGCCCCCCACTTACTTTGATGTGCTCGTGCAGCTGGGCCTCGTGCTGCCGGGAGAGCTGCTCGTGCTGCCGCTGGAACTCCGCGATCAGGATCTGCCTCTGGATCTGCTGCTTCTGCTTCAGCGCCAGCAGCTCCTGCTGCAGCTGCTGCTCCCGCAGCGTCGGCTCCGTCACCGGCATGGAGAACTGGTGGTCCAGGCGCAGATCCATCGGCACTGACGTCGGGGCAACTTGCAAGGGCAGCGCTGTGGTCACATCAACTGCAACACGAGAGCAGAGGTGAGTGTGTGCCCCGTCCCACGCTGTGTCCAGAACCTCGGACTGACTCAAGAGCAGCACCATCAAACTCTGCCAACAAAGCACTACAGGAATTTAGGGATCAGGGGGTTTTCCTGCAGCCACCACCTCCTACAGACACGTGTCTGCTAAAAGCAAAGGGTGTCAACGCGTGTGTGACCCTTCCTGACACCACCTGTGTCTCCAAAACACACCCCTCCCTTCCACTCACCCAGCATCTCTTGAAATAGGGAGGATTAGGGTTCATCTACAGCTTAACAGAGAGGATTCATCCTGACTGATGGTGGATGAGGAGATGGAACACGAGGCTCTCACTTCAAGAAACTTCTGCAGAAAAGCCCTGTGTGCCGTGTCATAAACCCCAGACAGGCTTGAGTTGGGGGGCACCTCAAACACCAACAGCCCTTGGAGCATCTCCAGGGCCTCCTCTGGACTTGCTCCAGCAGCTCCACATCTTTCCTGGAGGCAGCACTGCAGGGGTCTCCCCAAAGCCGAGGGGAAGGATGAAGGGGCTCGTTGTAAAAAAGGGCAGTGAGGCACCTCTGAAAACCACCTTTGTAGTAACTGAACTCAGCTCGTTTCTGTTCAAAAGAAATATCCCTGTTATGCCATGAATGACTAAAAACTTTCTGAATTCCCCCCCAGATGACAGTCCTGCATTTCCCAGGATTCCTATTTGCCACATTTCCCGCTTCTCTCCCCGGGGCAATCCCTCAATGGCTCTGCTGAGGGCTCTGAATGAACAGCAGCTGCAGGAGAACAGCGGCTCATCCTTCACAAACACCGAGCTCCAACAAAGCTGGAAATTAAAGGTGGGGTTTCTTCATCCCCTCTGTCAGGACACCAGTCCTATCGATCCCAGGGAAAGAGTTTTAACAGGGTTTTCCCACATGCTACCCTGGAGGAGGGCTCCAGGAGCACAGTCCGTGTGCCAGAGCTGAGTGTGCCCTCTCCCTGCTCCCACTTTGTGCCAGGCAGGAGGAGGAGGAGGAGACTTTCTTTTTTTGATGGAAACATTTTCTGCAAAAGGTCACATTACTGGAACTGTTGCTATTTTTCAACCCACAAGCTCTCCCTTCCACTTCCCTATTGTTTTCCTTCCTGTGGCCTTTTCCCTGCTCCCCTCTCTTCCCCGCAGGACAAGAGCTGGGAGCCCTTCCACGACTCACTGCACCACAGGGATTTTGGGGAGAGCACCTGGAGAGAACCACTCAAACTCACCTAAACAGTGTGTCTGAGGTCTCTGGGGAGACCTTGGAGCCCCTTCCAGGGTGTGAAGGGGCTCCAGAAGAGCTGAAGAGGGACTGGGGACAAGGGATGGAGGGACAGGACACAGGGAATGGCTTCACACTGCCAGAGGGCAGGGTGAGGATGGGATATTGGGAAGGAGTTCTTGGCTGTGAGGGTGGTGAGGGCTGGAATGGAATTCCCAGAGAAGCTGTGGCTGCCCCTGGATCCCTGGGAGTGGCCAAGGCCAGGATGGATGGGGCTTGGAGCAACCTGGGCTGGTGGAAGGTGTCCCTGCCCGTGGCAGGGGGTGGGATGGGACGAGCTTTAAGGTCCCTCCCAACCCAAACCATTCTGGGAATGATTTGCAGAGGCAGCCACAGCTTCTCTGGGAATTCCATTCCAGCCCCTTACAGCCAAGAACTCCTTCCCAATATCCCATCTGTCCCTGCCCTCTGGCAGTGGGAAGCCATTCCCTGTGTCCTGTCCCTCCAGCCCTTGTCCTCAGTCCCTCTCCAGCTCTCCTGGAGCCCCTTTAAGTCCTCAAAAAGGTTCTGAGTTCTCCCTGGAGCCTTCTCTTCTCCAGGTGAACCCCCCCAGCTCTCCCAAGCACCTAAACCCAAATCCAGTGTCCAGCAGGAGGAACCCCCTTTGTGCCTCGGGATCCATTCCTCCTGCTTTATTCCCTAAAAAGAGCTGCTCCACATGTCCTGAGAAAACTCACCAAACCCCCCATTCCCCATCCAAAGGGACTCATTCCCCCCAGACCAGGGGCACAGGGGCAGCTGCAGGGACGGTGACCACAATTCCCACCGAGAGCCTGGGCAGAGCTGCGTCATTCCCGACTTTTTACTGCTGCAGGCTCAGAACAAGCCCCTGTCTGCACCGCCAGGGGCTCAGCCCCAGAGCCCTCCCGCCACAACCCAACCCCCCTGCCCCATGGACACATCCCCAGCACAAAAACAAGCCTGTGTGCTAAGGAATATTTCATGGAAGACTCAAAAATTGCCTTTGTAGGTCCTGCCTTGGGAACACACTGAGACAATGGGAGTCATGACGTGAGCAAAGGCACAAAGATCATATTCATGGAACGAGAAATGCCAACCCCATGAATTAGGAGACCAGATCATGATTATGAATAATAAACTATCTCATGGGCTCTCCCTGCCTTTTCCTTCCCTGTAGGAACAGAAGGAATTTCATGTTTGAATTTATTTTTTTCCACCCTTGGCATACAAGGATTCCCTCCCCCCATTATTTTGATTCCACCGTCACGTCACGATGGTTTTTATACCAAGTTAGAAATGCTCTGCTGGTGTTTCCCTGCCCAAATAAATAAAACATGGCCCCACATCAAAGGCTGCACATTAATTAAGACCTAAAACACTTCAGGCCCCATCGATTGCTGATGGAGATGGGAAATTTGACAGCTTGGCCATAACCACACCGAGTGGAAAAACCCCCAAATACAGTGAAATGGGAATAAAGGGATCATCTCAAACCTGTCAGCGAGGTGCACAGCCAACAAAAAGGGTTTAAATCACGGAATCCTGCAATGGTTTGGGTGGGAAGGACCTTAAAGTTCGTCCCATTCCACCCCTTGCCATGGGCAGGGACACCTTCCACCAGCCCAGGTTGCTCCAAGCCCTGTCCAAACACACCAAAATGTAACCAAAAAGTGAAACCAAAAATTCAGTATGAGCCAAACACAGGCTACTTCACCTGAACATTTAAATTCCAATCTTTTTTACTTTAACTTGAGCCGAATTTTAAAAACATTTTTAATGTTTTAAAAATTATTTAAAAATGATTTTAAAATTTTAATTACATTCAGAGAGTGGTTTGGGTTGGAAAGGACCTTAAGGACCATCTCATTCCAACCCCCCTGCCATGGGCCAGGACACCTTCACTAAACCTCAACGTGGATTTTTTAAAATCAAACTCTGTTGCCAAAATTAATTTTTTTCCCTTCTCTCTTTTTTTTTTTTTAATTTTTTTAAATTTAAATTTAAGCAGCACAGAGAACTGCCTCTCCCATTTAAAATCCAACACCACCTTCAAAGGGAAAGAGCAGGAAACGCTTTCCCTGAGCCCTCCCTCCCTCCGGCACAGAGCGAGTCCCGCTGGACACGCACAGCTCCTTCCCAGCTCCTCTTTCCTCAGCAATTCCCTTGGGAACAGGGAGAGATCCCACCAACCTCCCCAGACCTGCTGCAAAACCAGCAACAGCTCGGGGTTTTTAAAAAATTCCCTGTATTTTGAAAAGCCTTTAAACAGAGAGTTGCTGCCAGCAGGAATGGCTTTGGGAGCACGGAATTCAGAGTCACGGAACGCCGTTCCTATAACCCATCACCTTCATTTTCCTTGGAATCAGCCTGGAAAAGGAGGCAAGCAGCTCCTGCTCGCTCCGAGCGCAGCCAAGGGAGCGTCTGAGGTGGTTTATTCCGGAAGGAGGATCTGTGCCAGTGGAGTGGCACTAAGTTTTTGGGAATGAAACCAATCCCCCCGGCAGTGGGAGGCACTGCCATCCGGAAGGGCGGCCAGGCAGCCCTGGGATCCTTTTCCAGAGGGGCTCCCACTTCCCAAAATGCCCAAACTCCCCGAAACACTGAGAGACAGTGAGATCAGAGCTATAAATAGCACCGAGTTACTGCAGGATCCGACTGCAGTGCCAGGAGAAAAGCAGGGATTTTGTGTGAAAGCGGAACGAAGCCGCCGAGTTGGTTTTATCCACAGGGTGGGAGATGCCCCAAATATAAGGAGAAATGAACAGGGGAGAGGGAAAATCCCACACTCCCATCGATATTCAGCTCATTCCCTAGGCAGGACTGGACTAGAGGAGCCCCCAGCCTGGTCCAGGAGCAGGAGGTGGGAGCAGCCCCCAGGACACCAATATTCCCTGGGGCACATCCCGAGCATCCTGTGGGGTAGGATGAAGGCACAGCCCTGCCATGCTCCTCCCTGGATCAGTGCCAGGGCAAAGGGAGGGACCAGCCCAGAATCAGGGAATGCTTTGGGTTGGAAAGGACCTTCCAGATAACCCAGGTACCAGGTAGGGCAGCAGGGAGAAACAGTTTCATCTGCTCCGCTGAATCCTTACCTTTACTATCCCATTCTCCAGGAGCAGATCCCAGGGAGGGCGTTTGGGGCTGGAATTACCCGACAAGTTTAAGCATCACAGCCCAGATAATCCAAAGGACAACGAGCTGGAGAAGTGGGAGCACGATTTGCCCCCAGAGGTGCTTCCTCACTCCGGACACAGACCACTGGCCCGTAAGGAAAACCAGGCTGCAGCGGCACCGGAGCCATCCCACAAAGGCTGGTCCGTCCCCGGGAATTCTTGGATAGCGTGGGTGACCTCAAAGACAGCCTGGATCCTTTGTGGGAGCACAAACAGCAGCTGAGGTTTCCTACGAGCTCCACACACGCTGCACTCCAGCAAGGGCTGGAGTCGTTCCCCGCTCCCGGAATATTTCCCACCCCATGAATGGGAACCAAAATGAATCATCCCCTCAGCCGTGGAAACGCGTCGTGAGGCGCCGCTCCGGAGGCAACAGATGGAGCTGGAAATGTCACTCACTCATTCATCACCGACAAACTTTTTGCTGATTACTACCCAGACCTGAAGACACATTAAGATTCTGGATTTCTAAATCCGGCTTTTTTCGGAGCCTGATTCCCTCCCCGAAAGGATCTCATTAGCATGTATTAGAAACCTGCACACAGATCTTATTCC